GTAGTAAGCTCCCAAGTGTGGTTCTCTTCAAGAGCAACTAACTCCTTCTTCATAGCTTCTATCCACTCAGGTTTATCTTTGGCTTGATAATAATAGTGTGGTTCTGGAATAGCCAGTACTTTCTTCAGGGATGTAAGAAAAGTTGTGGAATGGTAGGCCAGATCTGCATTTGCCATTCCTTTGGTAGCAGCATAAAAACTATATAATTGGGATGATGAGTCTTCAAGTGTTGTATGTGCCTTGGGTTTGGTTTGTACAAAATCCTTCATCCATACAGGAGGTTGTATTGTTCTGGATGATCTTCTTAGGTTATTTGAGGAATGATGCTCAGGCATGGTTTCCAAGGCAGACTCCTCCTCACCAACATGTGTTTCTGGTATGTTTGTTGAGAAATTTGGTGAATTTCCATTAACCATTGTTTCATTCCCACTTGGAGCAGTAGCATTTCCATCAACATGTATGTAATCAAACTCCTCAAAATCTGGAGCAGGCAGTGGCAAGGTTGGAATAGTCCTTTCACTGACAGAAAACTTCTCATTAGGTGAGGATGTGCTGTGTTTGTAGGGGAAAATATGTTCCTGGAAAAGAACATCTCTGCTGTGAAAAATCTTCTTGGCCTCAATATCATAAAGTCTGTATCCCTTTTGAGCGAAGGGATAACCCAAAAGTATACATTTAATTCCTCTGTTGTCCAGCTTGTCTCTGCTATTTAAGTTTGCTGCAAAGCATTGACACCCAATAACCCTCAATTCATCATAAGAAGGAGGTTTATTATAAAGGAGCTCAAAGGGAGTCTTCCATTTTAATTTTTCAACTGGCAGCTTGTTAATGACATGTGTGGCAGCCAAGATACACTCTCCCCAAAAGGTTTTAGGTAAGTTGGCATGCAATCTCATAGCCCTGGCTGTGTCCAACAAGTGCCTATGCTTTCTTTCCACAACTCCATTCTGTTGTGGAGTCCTGACCATAGATCTTTGATGTATTATTCCTTTGCTTCCAAACAAGTCAAAACATGTAGTATTAAGAAATTCTGTCCCATTGTCTGATCTGACACAAGCCACCTTCTTATGAAATTGAGTCTCAACCATGGACAAAAAATGAGATATAAATGTTTTGACTTGGTCTTTATTATGCAGTAATTGTGTCCAAGTACTTCTAGTGCAGTCATCCACTATGGTCAGAAATAGTTTGGCTCCTGTGATATTTGGTATCTTATATGGTCCCCATAAATCAATATGAATGAGTTGGAAAGGATTACTTGTAAATGTGACACTATCAGGAAAGGCAAGTCTATGAAATTTAGCAAGCATACAAATGTCACAATTGATTTTGTGTACAGCATCAACTTTACATTCAGATATATGTCTCATTTTGGACAGAGAAGTATGTCCTAATCTAGCATGTAAAAGCTCAAATTTGCATGTGTTTGTAGATAACACATGTGACTGGCCACCATGTTTGACTTGATGTTGTGTTCTCAATTTGTATAGTCCTCCATTCCTTGTTCCTCTTGCTATTACTTGCTCAGTTAAAAGGTCCTGAAAGACACATTCATTAGGCAGAAACTGAGCATTGAGCTTGTGGGTATCAATGAGTTTGCTCACAGAGATCAAGCTGAATTTGAATTCAGGGACATATAACACATCAGTCAACACTAGGTTTTGAGGAAAAGTTACATGTCCTGCTTTAGAAACAGCCTTATGACTCCCATCTGGAAGAGTTACCATTATAGGCTTCACAAGGTTGTGTATCTCATCAAATATGTGTTCAAAAGGTGTCATATGGTCAGAAGCACCTGTATCTATGATCCATTCTACTGTATCATCAACATTCATATAACAAGCCTTAGCGGATTCTAGTTTCATTACACTAGAAGCTATAGACCAGTTATTACCTGCCAAGTGTGCATAAGCATTGAGTGGAACACCTTCTGATGACCTTGAATTAACCTTATCAGTCATCATCTTCATCATTTCTTGTGCCACATTCTGAATGAATGTTGGGTTGCTGTGAAGAACCCCCATGTCTTCCAAAGGTGTTTGAGCTTGGCTATCATGGGTATGAGTCATGATATTTGCTGCAAATTTATTTCCTCCATAAAAATTTTGTCCTTTCTTGCCCTTGGGTCCTTTGTACCATTTAGGATAGCCAACTAATTTGAAGCATTGATCCTTCAAATGCCCAGATTCCTTACAGTAATCACACACCCTTTTGTGTTTCCTTGGATCATTCTTGTTGTAAGGAAATTGCTTCTGTCCACCCTTGCCTGCATACAGGGCAGTATTCTGATAGTCTGTACCATCATTGTTCACACATGCTGCCATCTCAGTCCCAATGGCAGACACACTGGTGATACTCTTCTGTCTTTCAACCTGTTGTACGAGACTACATGCTTTGCTAGGGGACGGATGTTCAGGCATTAAGAGTACCTATCCTCTAACCATATCAAAACCATCATTGAGTCTCATCAGAAATTTTACTAACCTTCTTCGTTGTTCAGCCTCTGCAACCTTCCTTTTGGCATCACAGGTACAACCTCCACATTCACAGACTACAGGATTGGTGACATTGTCCATTTCATCCCATAGTTTCTTGAGTTTTGTGAAATATGTGCCAACTGAATCATTATTTTGTTGTTGATCCGCAATCTTCTTCTCGATCTGATAGATCAAAGGACCATTGCTCTATCCGAACCTCTCCTCAAGCTCTTTCCAAAGCTCCACTGATGAAGAAGCGTACAGGAAGGCCTCTGCTAAATCGCTCTGAATGGAATTCAGGATCCAGCTGAAGACCATATTGTCACATCGCTCCCATTGTGCATAATTTGGCGATCCAATAGCAGGTTTTCTGCAAGTACCATTGATGAACCCTAATTTCATCTTAGAGATCAGAGAAATTTTGATTGATCGACTCCAAGGGATGAAATTTGCTCCTGTAAGTTTGGTGGATGTAAGCGCCATGCCTGGATGATCAGAATTATGCAAGAACAGAGGATCCTGCTTGTAGGTCTGTTCTTCTCTATCCGCCATCGTCGTAGTAGATTTCCGACGAGAGAAATAAGATCACCACCACGCAGAGAAAATAGAACTATTGCTCTGATACCATGTAAAGATGGTGAAAACAGAGGCAGGAAGAAGAAAGAAGAAAAGAACAGATCAATCAGCTTCCATTAATGGAGGAATTGTGTTTCTCTCTCTTACAGAATTACAGAGACGAGCCAAGCTACAGGAAAGGAATACACTGTCTAATATACCAGGGAAAGGGAAAGAAAATATCTAGAAATTAACTTGTAACTAACTAATAACCAACATTGACCATTGACCATATTGGTTATAACAAACACCCGAGATATATTTCTACAAAAACATACACAAACTAAGGTAGATGTAAATTATAGACATTCTCACACATTTTTCATGTTCTAAAAGTTGGGTTTCCTTATTTTTACAAGGCAGATTACATAAATTTACATTGAGAGTGAAGATCCATAAAATTAGCATAGACCTTAAGATAACAAAAAAATTTGCATATTCAAGTCATCTTTCTTTTAAATCGTATGTTGTTGTTTAGGAGTTTAAAATTTGATCTTGTGAATAGTAAATATTCAACTTAAATTTAAAGAGAGGGAGTAGTACTCTTTCTATTTGGTGAAAAATATTCTCACTTTGATTTTTTGATCAATTCAAAATACACTTTAGTCATTAACAAAAAATGTGATAGAATTTAGGATATGGATATGATTATTAGATTGGGCCATAAGACACAAGCTATATTAATAGATTTAATTCAATTGATTACTTAATTCAACTCAAAAATTTATACACTGATTTATTTTTCTCTTCAAGTTTCCAATAAGAGATTCTCTTTAACAGTCTTCCTCATGTGGACAACCGGACAATTTTGAATATAACTGGTTGACCACTTGCAAATGGATTTTCCTCCCTAGAAAATGAAAGGGTCGAAACGCCAACACCTAAAGAACCACGATATATTGGGCATGGATTTTAAGACGAACATTCGGTTTATATAGGCCATAGCTATTTTTCATAGGGACAACTAGTTAAAGACAAATAGTTGCAAGGAATTAACTTATAGACGGACACCTCTATAAACAAGGTGAGCCAAAATCTGCTCTGATACTATTATAGAAGTTAAAATAAAGAGGGGTTATTCGATTGAGCCATTAGATACTTTGGCTAATTATATTAAAAGATTGAATTTAATTGATTATTTAGTTCAATTTAAGAATCGAAAAACTTATATACTGATTTATTTGTCACTTCAAGTTCTGATATGATATACTCCTTGAAAAAAGAAATTTTAAATAAATAGTTTAAAAATTTAATGTATATTAATAGATTTTTTTAACATTGTTCTTATCTCTAATCTCTAAGCATAAGAGATATGACTTCGCTCTATATTGGTCGATCAAATTGAGAATATAGTTGATTTTACCTCCCAAAAATTATTGATTAACCAATTATATGTCCTAAGAGACCATCAAAGTGGAGATTCATTTTTTTAATGGATGAAAAAATTGAAATGAGGAAATGAAATAGTGGATGAAAGGGACTTCACTTCACCTTACATTTCCTATATGATGTGTTCGACAACTTAAATTTGGATTTCAAAATCGTATTTGATTTAAGTTACTTATTTGAAATATCAAATGAATTTTGATTTGGATTTAGATCAAATTCTTATAATTCAAAAAAAATCATTACAATTCACACTTCTATCTATATCATTTACAAATTCAAGCTCAACTCTTCTTTAATTTATGCTTAGTAATTAAAAAGTGATCTCTCCCTTGTGCAACTATAATTCCATACATATATATCAACTCGCCACCGTCATCATCTTTGTCGACTTCAGAATTCAAATTCTAAAATTGAAATCCTATGATTTCTTAAACAATATTTGAAATTATTGGATTTCAATTGAATTCTAAATCACAAACATTACGTTAAGATGATTCTCTGACGTTATACTCTTGATATTCACAATTTCATAGTTGATTCACAATTCACAGACCACAAACACAAGAGATAAAGCCAGGAAATCACATTGTCCATTGCTAAAATCAAAGTCTCTTAATAAAATAACTAATAATTAATCACATTCCATAGTCCATACCACTTAAATAAGTATGTGCTCCAATACCACATGCTATGTATATATTACTTATGATGAAGCCACCATCATCTTCTCAGTCATACTAAACATAAATAATCAGACATCATGGGAACAAACAAACAAATGGAGACCTTGCCACCAAACCATTAATTACTTCCTGCTGCTCTTGCCATTCTCCATAGCCCTTGGGGCTGCAGAGCAGTAGAAAGAAAAAAAAAACATCTTTAACATCTTCATAATAATGGGAAATGGAATTTAATTGATTTATAACAACACAAACGAACCCAATCCAATCGCATCGGAGCCCTTCATGATCTTCAACCGCTTGCACGTCTCTATAAACATACTGTGTGGTAAAAGCAGTTTTGCAGATGAGTAGCCAGCAAATGGGAAGAAGAAGGAAACTAAAGAGATAGCAGATATTTAACCAATTGATCCAAATATAATCATTAAAGGAAGAGTCCATCTTACTCCCAAGGGACATCTCCCACAAGCATCCAATCTCCATCCTTATCCTCATATGTAACCACACATTCTGTTCCATAGATGGGGCATGTTAGTGTATAAAAGCGTTTTAAAAAAACTTCAAAATGTCATGCTGAAAAAAAGAGCACAACCTATGGTAAAGCAGCTGAACATCTTCTCAAGCCCGGAAGAGAGTTGTCGGTAAGAGGAATACTTTCTAAGATCCACCTTTCTTAGGTATGGGGCTCCATCCATGCTGACTTTAACAAAAAGGGATCCAAGCCCCGGCTTTCCATCAACTTCATCGGTAACCTTAGTGGTGGAAGTCAGTGTGTTCTTCCTAAATGATCTAATAGGTGGCCAACCAACTACCGGTGCCCTACAATGCAATGTCAAGTTATTGTATACTTCATCATTTACTACATATATTTATTGTAAAAAAGGATTCCTGTTTAGCTTTCAAGAACATACTTAGCTTCGACGTGCTTGCCCTTCATATTAGCCTGAGAATCAGATTTGGGTGCATTGAAAATCCAATCATTTGCCTCGGTGGCCTTAGAGTCCTTTGTTTCTAAGAACCTGTCCATGGTGTATAAGAACCCTCTTTTGTTCCCTGAAGTCTTGAGAGATGAGCATATTCCATCGGGTGAAGGAAGCAAAGGAAACAGAGGCTTTTCATCAAATTTTCCAGGTTCTTGCTTGTTGTTGAGTTCTTCATCTCGGTCTGGAGATTGGGATCCGGGAAGACCAAGCCTCAATTCTGTAGCCTTTAGATTCAGTCTTTCTGCTGAGGAAGAAGCCATTAGAGAAGAAGCATTACAATGTCCTTTACCCAATGTCGCTGGGGATGCCATATTTCAACTTGAGTTAGGTTAGGCTCTCAACCTGCTTAGATATTCATTTAAAAAAAGAGGAATAATTCAATATTAACAGGGAATTCAACAAAGCATTTGATTATATTTGCAACTATTTCTAACAAAATCGTATAACAAAATACAGAAAATGGTACTTATTATTTGATCCAGCCCCATCCAGAGCACAAATCTTTATGTAATGTACCCTTGGCTAGCTTTAAGTGAAGGAACAGAAGCCAAGAAAGTTGTTTCTTTTCACTACAAAAAGATATCACGCAACCCCTTTTTCTTTTCTTTTTCTTTTTCTTGAAACAAGATAGGGATTAAAATTATAACACAAAGAGGAAATGGTAAAGTAACACAGAGGAAGACAGTGAAGTTTTAGCTGGGAAATTCTGCAACTAAACTTATAAAATGCACTTTTAAAGGAGAAAAACTTCAAAATTCACCAATGAATCTGAACCCACCAAAGAAGATGAAACCCCAGATTTGCCATCTGTCATGCCGCAGAAACCCAAAACACTTTCTTTAAAAAAAAATAAAAATACGAACTTTGTTGTGTAATACCCTAAAACAGGAGCAAAACAGATACAAATCTTCAAGATCTCAACTCACAAAGCTACAAAAGGGCAACAGAGACGAGGAATGAGTGATGAGCATAAGTGAAGTTTTATGAATGGGAGTAACATAAAAGAGGGGAAAACAAGAAGACAAGCCTTTTTACCTTTTGGACTTTGAATGGCCTGAAATACAGCGAGAAATAAGGAGAAAGAAGGAAGATTGTCACTACAGCGAGTGAAAAAAAAGAGGAAGAAACGTAAAGAGATACAGAGGATGGAGAGAAGCCAACAAATGAAAATGTGTGAGAGAGCGTTTCAGTCTGCCGAGGCACTGCAAACCCACTAAATTGCCCTCTCCTCCTAATTTAATCCCTCCCTCCCTCCCTCCCAAGCCACTACTTTTTTTGCTTTTCTTTTTTGGATCTTTTAAAATAATTTTATTTACTACTCGTATTTTGCTTTGGTTCTTCTTGTACACTATTTAGAGTCAAACTATACTTACTTTATTTGCTTATTTTCATTATTGATTTTATACGATTAATCATGTTATATCTTGTTTTTAAAAACTTTTTTATGTATTATGTACGTTTTTGTTTATTTTTACGTTTTCATAGGTCTTTTAATAAAATAAAATATTATTGACACCTCTTATTTCGAAGAACTTTTCATGTAATTTTTTGATATGAAAATTTTATTTTTTATTTCTATACCAATATGTAAATAAAATAAATTGAAAAAACTTGATATTTTGCCTCGGGAATACAAATGTAGCAAATATTTAAATACGAATGGAGTAGTATTTATCTTTACTCGAAGGGAGTGAGAAAAAAATGAGAAAATAAGAAAGGATTTGATTTGTGGCAGTCATTGTCTGTTGCTGTAAATTGCATGTATTGGAGGGGAGAGGTGCGTGGGGGCGGGTGGTAAAAAGGGGTCTGAAAAGGGGATATGATGGGAAAAGAAGGAAAAAGAAAGCACCTCTCGGTTCCACCAAAAGCAGCAAACTTCAACAAACTCCCATCATTACACGCCAACATGCTCCTCTCCTAGTGTTTTTTACTATTATGCCCTTCCCCACCATTGCCTCCCTCCGTCCATGCACCTACTGACCTACTTACTACTTGTGAATAACCATGCTAGCAAGAAGTGCAAATGACTAAGACCTCAACTTGATTTTTGAGAGTTGTGTTAGCAAAGTAACTATGCTAAGTAAGGGTTTGTGTAAATACTAGATGTAGATTCTATTTCTGTCACCAATCTGTAATCAAAATCTAATTTATCTTCTTTCAATAACCGTTCAGAAGATCCGAGGGACTCTCGAGACAAGTCTGATTTCTGACAACTACGCTGCATGGCAATGATGCTAAGCAATGACCTTTGTAAGTGTCTAAAGGGTCTGAGGGGCCCTCGGAGATGGGGTTCATCCTGTCTGTGGATAAGCATCCTAGCGCCAGTGGGCATTGTTTATTTGGTAAAGGCAATAACTGTAAAGAGGGTATGACCTGAGTTCGATTACTGGCAACTGCGCTAAGCGACAACTATGTTAAACATATATGATTGAAGTCTAATTTACAACTCTCACTAACCCTCCTTTTTTTGTGAATAACCATGCTAGCAAATGATGGGGCTCCTTTTGTGCATGGAGCGTTGGTCCCAGCCTCTGTTGTCAATTGAATCACCATGATTTATTTCTCTTCACAATCTCTTTGGACAGAGGTGAGAGCTCCTAAGGCGAGCAATTTCACTTTTTTGGAAAAAGTGAATAACTATGCTAGCTAAATCCACTCCGATTCAATTAATTAACTTTAAATATTTATATTTTGTACAATTTAAAACACTATAAGTACTTATTGTCTATAAATCGATTCAATCAAAAGCTACAACTTGTAGCGGTAGGCTTATGGTAATTTTTATATCCTAACATGCGTGTTAACGCACAAGCAAGATCTTTTTTAATTTGTTCGAGCCTTACATGAAAGTTAATTTTTTAAATTGGGTGGCAGTACGTTAAATTTGAACTTATGACCTCTTAGTCTCTAATTTGATATCATGTCAAAGAACTGACTCAACTAAAAAATTAAACTTGTCGTTATACACAACTTTCTACTCTAATATATAGGAGTGCATGGATAAATTATTTGTTGGATTTGATGAATCATTCTAGCACATTCCTATATAGGTTTAGCTATTTTTGTTAAGCACATTTTTTCAATTTTTAATTTTTTAAATTCTAGAAATCCGAAAGATCGGACCGGATCAATCCAAATTAACACCCCTATAACTAAGGTTGTTCGATATTAAGTTTGGATAAAAAAACAGAGCGAAATAAATTGTTAGATCCAAAACAAACATAGACCGATTATAAGTAAACCGTTAGGTCTAAAACAATCGTAAATCTATTGTAGCTTGCCAAACGATTTTGAAGGCAAAATTGGGTAATGTGGTTAAACACGAGAAAGCTTACTTAAAAAAGCAACATATGTTTATCGCTAGGGGTGTACACCGGTCCAAAACCGGACTGGAATTGGAAAACCCGGAAACCCTGAATCCCCTAAAGCATAGGACCGGAAACCAGACCTATTAGATTCCGGTCCAGACCCTTTCTGGACTGGTCTGGGTAAAAACCGGAAAACCCGAAATTTATTTTTTCCAATTATTTTTTCAATTTTTTAAACTTGTTTTTCAACATTGTAGCTTGAGTTGAATTGATTTTGACCCTACATTTAATTTTATATCCATTGGGTGTGTTTCAAGAAATTATATTAATATAAAATATTTTTATCAACAATATAATAGGTTTAAAATTAAATGATTTTATACTTCTGTTAGTTTTGGGATTTTAAAAATATATCAAGTTGTATTTTAAAGTATTTTGGATTTAGTAAGTCTAATTTATATGTTAAAGTATTTAATACTTTAAATCGAAAGATTCTACTTTAATTTTTGGGAAATAGTTTTAGTTTTTTATAATTATGGATATTCTTGGGTAAAGGTGAATGAAATTAATTAAAAAATACAAATTACATTTAGAAATTATAATTCGTATTAAAACAAGAAGAATAAATGAAAATATACAATTGTTTTTATAATTATATTTATACTCGGTATTATAGGTATTACATTTTGTTTAAAAAATAGACATTCCGGCCTTACCAGTCTGACCCAGAAACGATTTGGTATTGGACCGGAATTTTACCGGTCCAAAATCTTTAGACCGGAGACCGGGTCTGGAATTTTACCGGTCTAGCCTGGAACCGGTTTTTCCGGTCCGGTCTGGTTTTTCGGTCCAACCCGGATTTGGTACACCCCTATTTATCGCATTTGCTTTGGGTACATTTGATTCCCTAGCCCCACAAATTGTGGAATTTCTTAACGGGGTCCAATAGGTCGTACATAGTAATGTTTCGATCCATAAGGCCCGTAATTTTATTTTTAGTAGGATCGGATTTGTTGTTCAAAAGAGGGTTGTAACGCAGCTTGTTACTAGCTTGTAAGGGGTAAAATTCGAAAGTCAACTACAAATATACTTTCTTTATTTCGGCTAAAAATTAAAAGGCCTAAGGTTTATTAAAACGGAGCCAAAATTTGAAAAAATTGACTAGACAGGGGGAGTATGAGTTTGACTTTCAAAATTGCCATTTCACACTTCAAGCCATTTAGGCTGCAATACGTACGTGCACTCCGTTGCCTCGGCGTCGTCTCCTGAGAATCAGTTGCGGTTGGCGAAGGGTCATCTCTCAGGTATGCGAATTTAGCCTATGTTACATCAATTGTCAATTTCATTTTTCATTTTAATGGTAGGCGAATCCAGATTTTGCTTTATTGATTTGAATTTCTATCTTCCAGTTTACCTCTACCACGCTCTAAATCTGTTCGTCTTCCAGCTTCAAATTGTATTAGTGGCAGTATGGGTTTCTGTGGCTCATGGAAATGGCTATGGATGAGAAAGGTTGTGGCCAGTGTGGGTTTACCTCTCCTTCACACACCATCAATGACGGAGAACCCCAAGTGAAGAAGAAGCAGACCCTCAGTGGTGACATCGATGTAACCAGTGGTTACAGCAATGTCTTATTCATTGGAAATGATCAGGACGATGAGTGCTTTTAAGGGTACATATATAATGCCTATGTATTTAACGAATTTCCTAATTTTCAGAGTACATCGTTTAGGCGTTCACTGTGGATTTGGGTGAGATATCTTTGCATTTTGGGTTTCTTTGGAGTCATGGGTTTGTTCATAAGCACATCCTCATTGCACCATTTTCTAACAATTTTCCTGAAATATTATGTGAACTCTTCTACTAAGATTTACGTAGTATCAAGCTGTTTCGTTACGATCAGCTATTGTCACTGCTTGTGTAGGAACCTGCTGAGTTTTACATCCCAAGCTCCTAGCAATGTCTTGGCTCAAGAAATTGTGAGTGCTTCCGGAATCATTCAGTATATGAATAGGCCTCTTTTTAACCATGCCCATAGTTCTCATGGTGTGTGATAGTTGTACATTGTTATTTAAGGATTCTCCATTTTCAGGTATCTCAACAGTTAACAATTGTTGTTCCTTGAAACTATATACATTTGTGGCCTCTCTCAAAGGGTTTATCACTGTAGTAGCACAACCCCTTTGCTATCTTTTCTGCCCTCACATTTGCAGGTATGTATGTGTACCCTCTATTAGATATAGTTTGACTTGAAGGGTTAAATAGTTGGAAGTTGGCAGGCTTTGGTTTGTGGAGGTTATGATGAGTTTCTGATTAATGTTTTGTTTCCATCCTGAATTAGTGTATATTTGCTGGATTAGGAATATTCCACTTCTATTGATTCTTCTTTAAGCCTTGCATACTCAATAGCCTGAGCTATGCAACTAGGTTTGGAAGCTTTAACAAACAACTTAATTCTTGGTTTCAACCTTCCAATAAAGCAATCCAAAAAATATAAGAATCAAGTAGATAACTTGTAACCCAATTTTTTTCCTTTTCAACCTCGCAATATCTACCCATTGTTCTTCTGGAATTTTACCGAGGCTCCGTTTGGTACACATAATTCAAGCCATGGAATTGGAATTGGAGACGTCAATTCGAATTTTGCTGTTTGGGGAACTCTAGCTTGCGATTAAAGCCGAGTGTTCTTGCATTTGACTGGCTTCCATCTCCACCTGTTGAGCTATGAGCACCCTCACGTTACATTCCGATTTTCATCAGTAAGCAGAAGCCATAGGCAAAGGGGAGAGGGTGTGGTTCATCCTCAATCTTTTTTTTTGAAGACTTTTACAGTGAATGGGACATCAAAAAAGATTTCCCTCTTTCATAATGCTCTATGTGCAAAGTGCAAGGGGTGAAGGGGTAAATAAATTTATAATCATTTCTGTACATGAATTTTAGTCCCTCCACAAACTATTTCAATCTTTCAACCACAACATTTGAAGTTTTTAGTGTGATTGAAATGTGGTTACTTTTAGACATTCACATCCCACTAAGAAACACACTTGAGTGTTGGTTGAA